TGCTTATTTTTTAAATGAAGACGCTAATCTACACCTTGGCGTCCTTTTTGAGTAGAGTCGGAATTTATAATTTTCTTGATATATTTTTTGTAAGATACTGTGACTGAACAGTACTGGGCGCTTTTTCGTGCTAGCGTGTAATCCTTTAAAAAGGCAGCGGGTGGTTTGAACAAAATTCTTTTATTCGTTCAACAAACAAATTTATTCATTTATTTATTTTTTTTGGTTCTGTTTTTTTCCTTTCAGTAAAGAAACTTGGCAAATACTTATATTAAATTCATAATAAAGTAAACAAGCAAAGCATAAGATGTTAAAATATCATTCAAAAGTGCGTACTGTCTTTTTTTCTTATATTCATACAAAAAATAAGACAACGAGGAATAAAACTTTGGCGAACAGAGTTGTGCTACCAAATTCGGAACAGTTAACGCCGAATAAGCTTAGATTCATGTTGGCTTTTTTTTGCCGTTGTTTTTATTATTTTGCAGAATATGTTGTTTTTGTTTGTTTGTTTTTTCCGCCATCGCCACAAAAACTGGACATTTCCATATGGAAATTACTCGTATACCACTGTGACATCAGTTGCAGTGATATATAAACTAGACTAAGAAAGATACAATACAGTTAATTACATCCAATGTGTAAAGAAAACACTGAGCAGAGAGCATAGTAGAAAATTAAATAATTCAGAAAGGTTCAAAAAAAGGAAGTTAAGTTTAACCAAACTGACATTCTCCAGGCGTTTCCGAAACCAATAACGAAATAAAGGGCACGAAATTTTGGAGAGAAGTAAAAAAGAGGACTTAGGTTTCACTACTTGCAAGAATTTCTGGCGGTAATGAGAAGGAAGAAATAATCCATCTTCAAAAATATAAAAAAAAAAAGTTAGAAAAATTCATTTTTCTTTAGCCTTCGGATGGCCTCTGTTCTTCAGTTGTTTTCGCCGACGATGTGGCAGCTTCTGTAGTCGCATTTGTTTCTGTTGTGTTGGATTCTGGTCTCTCTTCCGGCACTGCGTCATTGAATTTGAAACCTGTTAAATACTGTTGATTATTATCGTTTACCACAAGTGTTTGACACTGAATTTTCTTTCCCCGACCTACGTGCAGAACGAATGAGTTTCCCAATAACTTACTGAGGGCTCTTCGTCGTACGCAGGCAATACCTTGCGTATACGCAATCGGTAGGCAACGGCAGTTACCGATTTCACAAGTTGACAAACCTTCTGTAAATCCAACGCACTGCTCGGAATAATCGCATGCAGCACCGATTGGTCGTGTTGCTTAAGACGGTGGGCGTTCAGTTAATTATTTTTTAAAATGTTAATAAAAAGAGCTTATTCTGTTTTACGGGTTTTATTGATGAGTAGTAGCTACCTGACGCTGCAAAAACAACAGCGTTTCTAGCTCCTTCAGCGCAGCAAAGGTTGTTAATACACTCGAAGCCGGCACCGCATAAGCCGTTCATGCAACCGCTTACTGCAGCCGATCCACCAGGACAACTTCCAAGTGGGTTCATATGCATTACACCTACAAAATTGTATTTATGGAAAAAGAATTAAGTGAAAGGCAACGGAACTTCTAGGAATTGTAACTTTAGTGGTCACCTGGTAGGGGTTCAGAATAACTGGACATTAATGCAGATTTTTTTTCTGGAGAACGGTGAAGGCGAGGAATTTGGCAACAGACACCAAGGATATTAGATGAACCGGGCGGACATTGATTGTTGAAAGCAGGTCCAATTTCGAGTGCTTGATTGCCGTTACAAGTTTCATAACACATCTGCGTGACTCCAAGATGAGCAGCTTCAGTAGCCGACGGATAGCAGACATAACCAGTTGGGCAAATATTTTCACCCGCTAAATTTTAATATTTCCTTTTAATTGTCTTTTCCGGAAATCCAGCTTTAAAAGCAAAAGTTACGTGTTGAAGTTGTTTTTATTGTTGCCGTGAAAAAGATTTTTACCTGCATTTGGGACACATTCGTCCAAAACTGCTCCGGTCGGGCAACACTGGTCAATACTTGTATCGCATGATAAGCCAGGAGCACATGCACCATGAATACATGATCCAATTCGAGCAGCGTTTGGTTCACAGGAGAATGACGAGAAAGTTGCTGGACAACAAATGTTACTGGCAGTGCAGCTGTATCCACCAGGACAAGCACCGTTAACGCAAGGACCAACTGATGGTAGATTGCCAGGACAAGCTGTAATGAGAAATATGAGCGTAAAACAATATATTTTGACCTAACATTTTTTGCTCAATCAAAAACTTACTTGCTGCGAGAAGACTTGATGGACAACAGATATTTCCTGTGGTGCATACATAACCGGTACCACATCTACCATTAATACATGCACCGACAGCTTGACTGCCATCCAAGCATCGAGGGCTTTGTGAAGTGTTGTTACAACATAGGCCTGAAAATTAATTTTACTTTAGTTGTGACATTTTAACGCAGAATTGTTTATGAGTGCCTCCTTAAGAGTGCAAAAAGTTTCTGTTTTCCTTTAATAGTATTTGGTTATTACCATTTACGCATACAAATCCGGTTCCACATTGACCATTTATACAACCTCCAACAGCTTGAGTTCCATCAGGGCAAACTGAAATTCAAGTTGTTCAGTTAATTTCTAGAAGTAACCAGTGTTCTTTGCTGTATCGTAGCCGCTAGAAATATTTTTGCAGTTTTTGAAAAATATCTGCTAAAACAACTTTACCAAACGGATTGGTCGTTGTCGATGGGCAACAGAGATTAATTGATCGTATACATGTGTAACCCTGGCTGCAAGAACCGCTAACACAATTGCCCATTGCGGTACCACCCATTGGACAGCTCTGTATGTCTGAAATCAAATTTTTAAAGCATTATTTGAGCAAAGTAATTTGTTGCATTAATTCATGAGTATCGTCAAATTAAGTTACTTACAGGTCTGTTGAGCGACTGGACAGCACATACCAGTTGACTGGATACACTGATATCCCGGCGAACAGTATCCATTAATGCATGATCCATACGGTTGACCACCGCTTGGACAAACTGTAATTGTATAGCGCTAAGCTAATCTACTGCTCACCCTATTTTCATTGATTCATTTTATACGAGTAATTTTTTTATTTCTCTATAGGAGGTTCTCGTACACCTGCAGTATTTTAAGGACCACTTTTGACTATATCAGTAGTTACTACAATTGCTTTTCGTTTATTTATTTTTTTTTTAACTTTTTTACGGTGTTCATCTTTTGATGCTCGAATTTAGGAGGGTGATAAAAAAAAGTTGTAAAGTTGAAGGTAGTTAGGTAGAAATATTTCTTGGAAATTATATTAAATGAAAAAGGCAAAATAAAGAGAACAACAGTAAAAACATAAATTCGAAAGAAAATAGAATAAAACAAAAATTACAGGTCATGCAGGTTTGAAAGAATAAAAGTTAAATTTAAAAAACAAACAAACCAGATGAAAAAACCAAATTGTGAAGAAATAAAAAATTAATTGATTTAAAACAGTAGCTATTGATTAGAAAAAAAAAAAAAAAATGAAGAAAGCTGCAACAGAAAACTAAAAACAAACAAAAAAAAAGCAGCAATTGCAAAAAAGACCAACTAAGCTGTGGGCAGCAAACTCCTGAAACGCACACTTGTCCGGTTGGGCACGAACGAAAGCACGACCGGCCGGTGGATGGCAATCCGCCCGGACATTGTTGGCGGAGGCAGCAAGAGGCTTGCTGTGTGCCGCAGCAACCGGAGTATCCACGGGGGCA